CATCATCACTTGCCATCAGAGAAATGCAAATCAAAACCACAATGAGATACCATCTCACACCAGTTAGAATGGCGATCATTAAAAAGTCAGGAAACAACAGGTGCTGGAGAGGATGTGGAGAAATAGGAACACTTTTACACTGTTGGTGGGATTGCAAACTAGTTCAACCATTGTGGAAGACAGTGTGGTGATTCCTCAAGGATCTAGAACTAGAAATACCAGTTGACCCAGCCATCCCATTACTGGGGATATACCCAAAGGATTATAAATCATGCTGCTATCAAGACACATGCACACGTATGTTTATTGTGGCACTGTTCACAATAGTAAAGACTTGGAACCAATCCACGTGTCCATCAGTGATAGACTGAATTAAGAAAATGTGCCACATATACCATGGAATACTATGCAGCCATAAAAAAGGATGAGTTGATGTCCTGTGTAGTGACATGGATGAAGCTGGAAACCATCATTCTCAGCAAACTGTCACAAGGACAAAATACCAAACACTGCATGTTCTCACTCATAGGTGGGAATTGAACAAAGAGAACACTTGGACACAGGAAGGAGAACATCACACACTGGGGCCTGTCATGGGGTGGGGGGAGGGGGGATGGCATTAGGAGATATACCTAATGTAAATGACGAGTTAATGGGTGCAGCACACCAATATGACACAAGTATACATATGTAACAAACCTAGAACTTAAAGTATAATAATAAAAACAAATTATCCAGGCATGGTGACAGGTGCCTGTAGTCCCAACTACTCAGGAGGTTGAGGCAGAAGAATCACTTGAACCCAGGAGGCGGAGGTTGCAGTGAGCCTAGATTGCATCACTGCATTCCAGTCTGGTTGACAGAGTGAGACTCCGTCTCAAAAAAATAAATAAATTTTAAAAAAGAAAAGAAAGAAAAGGAAAGAAAATATTCCATGTGCCTTGTGTCTAGTGCTCAGAATCTGATTACCTTGTAGCTGCTTGGTGCTGCAGTGTGCCCTGTCCTGGCTGTGTTTCAGCAGGACGAGCTAAATAACAAAAAGAAGAGATGCCCAATTCCCTGTCCAAGATGGACACCATATGGAGAATTGCAGGCACAAGGATAACACTTAGAGAAAAATAGATCAATCTATTTTTTCTTTATTAATTCCAAATTTCTGAAGTCCTGAGGCACCTACCTCAAAACCCACAAGCTTTGGATTTGAACACTGAGATTTTGATAAACTAGGAAGCTCAGGATATGACATAAGGGAAATCTTCCATTTCATTAGGGGGCAAAACCTTCTCTTTCTGACACAGGCTTGGGAATAAATAAAGGAAGAGAAAAGTAGAAGAAGCAGACAATCAAATATATGTGTTCTAACCAGCCCTCGAAGGGACTGAGGCCGTGAGGGTGAAGAGGTAGGATAAGAAGAGGCCGAAGGTAGAAATACACTCCTGATCACCATTCAGAGTCCTACCAAGAGACTGTTGTTCAGGGTGACCCAGAAACTCCAAAGGTGTTGAGGGACGATAGAAAAGCAGCAGTGAAGGAGGGTGGCAGGCAAGTCAATCTGAGCATGCTCCTGGCTCCCTAGACTATGGAATGCATGCCTTAAGCTCCTGTTTGCCTCAAATGTGAGGTACAGATACAGAAAGCAGCTGGAAGCTCAATCAAAGAACGTGCCAGAGGGGATCAACTTGGCGGAGAAAATGTGGCCATATCACTGAGGGCTACAGAATGGACTTCCCAACTCAGGGCTCCAGAAGAAATCAGTCATGTCTGGGAGGTGATGTGTTTGTGTTTGGGGGAATCACAGCATTGGAAAACCAGAAGTGGGACCATTTCAACAAGAAGATGGCCACCAAGCCCTGACAAAGCCAAGACAACAAACAGTCCATGGGTTCCTTGGCCACAGCCTCCAACAGTGGATGACATAGGCTGGATCCACATAAACTGTGTCTCAACAGAAACCTGCCAAGTGAATATGCAAAGATAAGAGTGGTTGTCCAGTTGCAGAAACCAGCACCAGGACCGGCATTGAATAAGAGTGATTCTACACATCCGTCCAAAGCCCCACGAGTCAGTACTATCAGGTTTTGTCTTATACTCAGAAGCCCTGTTGATAAAGAAGAAAAGAAATAAACCACTCTGATATAAGGTAGAACTTCAAATTAATTAAATATTTACCTGGAAAGATCATTTTAAATTAACAGAGACCATTTATACTGTAAAAAAAAAACTTAAGATATGCTTTAATTGGTATATTATATGGTTTGCTTTTTGTCTTCTTTCTATAGTACCCAACAGAATGGAGACTCAAGAAGGTAAGATTATTATAGAAAACAAAATAGCTATGTCTTCAGGGAATACCAGTAAAGAGTATTCAAATTCATTATCCCAGCATATAGACAAGTTGATCTTGAAGTAAAAATTGTCCTGGACTTCATGTTTGCACTTGTAATTTATTATGGAAAGACTTCTTTTCTAGGAATGGAATGTATAGTGCCTATTCAATGTTAATACATAATAAGGAAATTATGTAAAGTTTCAACGAGATGATTCTTATAAAGCTTTTAGTGTTCACTGAATTTTAGTTACTCATCCCCATCACTATCACTTAAGTGCTTTCCCCTAAGTCATTATTGGGTATGTACAGAGAAAAGACCAAAGCATAGAAACGCCACTTTAAATTTTTCCTACATGTAGAGATAGGAAACAGAACAGTATGCTAACCCAGTCATGGCAGAGCTAATTCATGATGAGTTGTATCTGAGGCTGTTAAAGCTGCTGTCAAGCGTAGTAGTCATCAGTTCCAGCAAAATGCTTCCCAGAAGGTACCTTTTACATTTCACTGGGGAAAGATAAAGAAACGTTAATTCTGGTAAAAAATGGAACGGAAAGAACTGAATGGAAAGGTTAGTAACTGAGAACCAGATATAGTAGTTCCCTGGGAGTGAACTAAACTATTGCTAGAAACAGGAAAGTCTTCTGGCAAGGAGATATTGGGGTGGGGAAGGAGAGAGTAGGAAAGTAGGTAGTGGTGGGGCAGTTCCAAAGGAGTGAAAGAGGGTAAAGATTCAGGTAAGCAGCAGGCCTGGGCCCACAGAGATATCACAGGAAATCAATTATGTCCAAGGCTGTAGGTCTTTCATTGCCTTCTTCAATGAAACTCCTGGTATTGGTCAATCTCAAAGGAAATGATTCTTCCTGTCTACTTAAGTCCAGTTTGGAACTCGTGGTGGAATGACTTTAGTCTTCGACCTCAGAATCTAGAATCTAGAACAAAAGGAAAATGTTGTAATGTACACACTGAAAAACACAGACTTCCAAAACTGCAGGACCTTTAGGTCCAAACCAACCACTTTGTTTTACAAATAAGAAACTAAGACTCAGGGAGATTAGGTGACTTGTCAAAAGTCATAGAGCTATTTGTACTAAAGCCATAGTAAAACCCGTTGTCCTGTCTCTAGTCCAGGGTGTTTGCCACTATAGGATATTTACAGATTTATCTTTTATGGTATAAATAGTCCAAAACCTACAGTTACATCTACTTTGCTGAGATACAATTTTAATTGTATATTTCCTCTACCCTTGAACGCTCACGTATGTTGCCCAAAGGCTATTCAGTAGTGCCAGGCATTAAGACAGCAAGTTGATTTCCTAATATCACAATCTCAGTGTGCTATGTCTCTATCAGATACGTGAATTTTAAACATTTCATTTGGATTCCTATTAGAGAAAAATATGTGTTTCTTATAAACATTTAAAAATATTTGTATTAGTTTGTTCTCGCATTGCTATAAAGAACTACCTGAGACTGGTAATTTATAAAGAAAAGAGGTTTAATTGACTCACAGTTCCACAGGCTGTTCAGGAAGCATGGAGAGGAGGCCTCAGGAAACTTATAATCATGGTGGAAGGCGAAGGCAAAGCAGGCTCGTCTTACACGGCCGGAGCAGGAGGAAGAGAGAGAGTAGGGAGGTGCCACACACTTTCAAACAACCAGATCTTGTGAGAGCTTACTTACTATTGGAAAACAACAAGAGGGAAATCTGCCCCCATGATCCAATCACCTCCCACCAGGTCCCTTCTCCAACAATGGGGATTACAGTTTGACATGAGATTTGGGCGGGGACACAAATTCAAGCCATATCAATATTGATAAGCTAAAAATAAGAAAACAAAAATATCTATAATCCTATTATCCAGAGATTAACCCGTTGACATTTTTGGTCATCCTACCTGTTCTTTTTCTACTTTTCAATCTTTATATACATCCAACTGTATATATGTTATTTTTCCTACTATTTTCTAACCTACTTTGTAAAAAAAAAAAAATAACTAGTTACATATTATCTGTAACCTTAGTGCTTGGAAAAGTAAGAAGGATGCATTTTTCTTTTTTACCAGCAGGGAAACATTTTTATTAGATGAGTAGGAGGTAGTGCAGAGGATGGTTCCCAACAGTTCTTTTCCTTTACACTGGAGTTGCCTGTGTCAGCTCATACCGAGTCTGCCTTTGGAGTGCATCAGGGGTCCCACCTCTCAGGTGTCATTCTCTTCTTCTTCCCCCTCATGGTGCCCTTGGTTTTCTTTTTACTGCTGCTCTGCTTCTTAACCTTTGGCTACAACTCTCAGTCAGAAGTTCTAGCAGTTTTTTCTAACCACAGACCTTGAGGTGGGGAAAGCTTCAGGCCTCTTGAGGTCCTGAGTTTACCTGGGCAGTGGAAGCAGCAGAGATAAACCCAAGATTCTTCAGGTCTTGCCCAAAGGGGAAGAGCATGAAGTTAAACAACAGTTCCCTACTCCATTGTCATTACAATGACAAATCTTCCAGGTAAGTAAACCTTTGTCTTGCAATATTGGCCAACTGTTATTAAAAGAAATTTAGTGGGTTACACACTGATGTCTCTCTTTTTTCTCCCCATTTTACCAAAGACCCATATTCTATTACTATAGAAATGAATAGATAAATACTGGGAATAAAACCTCATCCCGACCCATTGTTTCCTCTGCTCCTTCTAGCAATTTCGGTGAAGAAATTAAAACTTTGTGGAAGATGGCCAAGAACTGGGAGATCAGTATTAGGAAAGCTGATAAAGAAAAAACCTTCTAGTAATATGAAAATATGCAAAAGAAACACAACAGAAATGTGATGTGGGAGACCATCAAGGAACCTGCAGAACTATTTTAATGACTGTGAACTTGGGACTTCTCAATGGCTCCCAGGCCATGGATGTGATGGTTCTAATGTGCAATGCGTCCTCACTACTCTAAAACTAGATGTCACTGTCACTAAAACTAGGTGTGTGGGAGGAGGAACGAAGGTGCTTTCATTTTCTTCCTTTAGGAAGGGGATAAGGTTCTAAAATGTTAGCTTCTCTTTCCTTTCTCAATTACTTTCAGTCTCTTCCACCAGATCAGGAAAGTAAATGTTTCTGTCTCTCTTCTACCAAAAGTCCTCAGTGATGCCACAGCATTGAAGGGAAGTAAAAAATATAAAAGAGTCAGAGAATGGCTCATTATGCTAGGAACTAGAAGGACAATTAAAAGTTGAAATAAAATGTTTTTAGAATATGTATTCCACAGGGAACTGAGCAGAGAGGGGAGCTGTGGTTGCAGAGAAGTAGCTGTGGGGAAGAATGACTAAGAAACACACCAAGAGCAAGTAATTGCCCTCTGGGGATGCCTAAATTTTGAAAAGTTATCAGCTAAAACTGACAAAGTAAAACCTGCATCCCCAAGAAGAGGATGAACAACTGTATTAAGGACTTTCCAAGAGATGTACATCTCCACATGCAATATGTCCTGTGCATGAAGTGAGCACTTGAGCACTCAGCCTTGGTGAGTGACCCACAAGGAAGGCTAAGAGAAGGTGGTGGGAGGATAAAGCCCAAATCCCTGGGAGCACCCGGGATTGTTTTGTGATCCTCCACTGTGTTTTTCTCACTGGTTGTCGTTGGAGGCTCTTTGAATTCTTCCCAGGACCTAGATGACTCATATCAGTGTTTTCAAGCCACTTGATAGAATCCTAGTTCTTGTCAGTCATTAAATCAACAGCATAAACTGAAGTGCTCAGTATATGTAGATACACATTTTAAAAACTAAAGAATGGAAGTCAAAAGGCTCTTTTCTTGTCCTTGAGGCATTTCTGTTCTGTTGGAGATAAGAAGGAATGGAGAAGGGCTAGGATTGGTATAAGAACCAAAGATAAATATAGACCTTCATCTTTTCTTGATAAAGAAGATGGTGAATATTCTCAACCATCGGGAAGCATAATCCCTATGGAACTAGGGCAAGTTTGGTCCCAGATGTGGCAGAAAACTTGATGTTAGGGGTCATCCCAATCCAGGAATTACCAGGGACAAACTTTGGGAGGAGGCTTACATATCAGAAGGCTACTAGCCTTTCAGCCTTGGCCCAAGTAGTTTTGCCATTTCAACTGATGTAGTCTTCTTCCCCGTTTCCTTGGTCTCTGGTTTTGAGTCAATTAGTCCCGTTCATTGACACCTCCCCAATCAGCTGTGTGTGTGATCTGAATCCTTTGAACCCAAAACCCATTAACTCATATCTCATTGCCTACAGTCCCACTAGCTATGCATGCTTAGAGCAACCAAAAACCAAAGGATCTATTGTTCCCTTCTATACTGTTTTAAACCACAGGTTATGTATATTCACTTATCACAAATCTTTAGAGCTGGAAGAAATCTAACCTAATCTAACTTGCTCATTCTGTAGATGAAGAAACTGTGACTTTAAAATGTAGCAATGTACCCAATGGATACATAGATGGTTTACTGATACAGCTTGAAGCCCAGGCCTCCTTATATGAATCTTAGCATGCCTTAAACCTCATCTACTTTTTCAAGAGGCAAGAGCACTATTTCTTGTTTTTGTTTTGTTTTGTTTTTTCGTTTCTACTTTATTATTTCTACAGATCTGCTGAGCTGATTACATAGCTAGACTCTATGTCTCCTCTCACCAGATGTCTTCATCAAGCTTCCTCTGAAAACTCTCTGATAAGGTCATGATGACTCACTCTTTCTATTCTCCCTGCAGGCTGAGTTCCGAAGAGGGAGACCAGACCGATTGATTTGTTATCCCAGTACCTTCCACTGGACCAGGCACTGATCAGTGCTCAGTACATGTTTACCAAGGTGAGAAAAGTGGAATAAAATTCTCTGTCCCAAAAAGCTAAGAACAAGGCCACCTATCAATAAAAACAGTTTTTCATCATCTGAAAACATCACCAAAATGTATTGGAATAAAATAGCACTAAGCTCGCAGTGTGTGCAGAGCATGCACTACCTACCCGTTGAGTACAGGTGAATCCTCCACTTTTATTCTTCACTATATTTAACAAGCTCTCCGTATTTTGGTGGTTTAAGCAATATAATTTATTTCAAGGGGCTTTATGACCCACATTCTGTAAACTTTCTGACCTTTATAGCACATATTCATATTGTTTCTTGTCCCCATGGCACTGGGTAGACTTTACCTCTGTAATTTGGACTTCTTGAGCATAGTAACAGCCACTTATGTTTACTTAGCACTTTACAAAGCACATTCATATTCATTTGTTCATCTGTTCTTACTTAAGATATTGTGAGATAAGCATTATTATTATTCATGCATTTCATATGAAGAAAGTGAGGCTCAGAGAGGTCTAGTAAGTTGCACATAGCAGGCTAATGGAAGAGGCAAACTCAAACTCAGACCCCTTGACTTCTCATTTAAAGCTTTACCCACACACCACATGTTTTTCTCTTCAAGGATAGATGGCTGTCCTGAGCTTCCCGACTGAGGTTCCTCAGGTGCCTCCCTTCCTAGACCACAGCTTTTCAGAACTCCTTCCCGCCCTTCACTCACGGGCTTGGAGAGAGCTAGATGTGCAGGGCAGCCCTGACCCTTGTTCCAGCGTAGTCTCCAGGTAGATCTGAGACCTGGGTAAATCACCTTAGCCCTATTCCTTGGTTTCCTTGTTTGTAAAATGAAAGGAATGAAACACTTAGCCTCTATATTTCTTTTCTTTTTAAACAGTTGTGGTTACCTTCTGGAGGGTATCTCAATCCATGAGGCCAGCTCTGAAGGTGAAGATTCTCTCTGTAATAACAAGCAGCCTACCGATCACAGTAGATCAGCATTGAGTTACTTCTTCTGCTGATGCAAGGGAACCATCTCCCTGGGGCGGTAGTCAAAATTCCAGCCCCTGGCTCTGACCCTAGAAACTGACCTCCAACCTTGCAAACCCAAGGCCAGTTTCTATTCTTAGCAGTTTCTACAGTGACACCTTCTGGCCACTGCAGGCCAGGGCTGAATGGAGACAAGATGCCAACTCCATCCAGGTCCTCTCTGCTCTCTCCCTCCACCAATGTTTCCGGCGAAAAGAAATATAAATTGAATTATGCATTTCAGCTCTCTTGCATTTTATTCTACGTTTCTGCTCTGGTTTTCTTAATGCTGATGTACAGCATTTGTCCTCTGGCTGTAGTGGCTTGCACAAACACGCTCTCATTAGATTCTCAGATTTGACCAAAATCCATTTTTTTTTATTTATTATTTGATCCTCTGGCACTGCTGATTTTCTAAACACAAATTCCTAATATTGAAAGGTGGAATTTCCTAGAGGTTGGTTGAAAGCATAGTGCCTGATACACTCAATAATGTGCTAATAAATGAATTAGTTTATTAATTAAATATTTTTAAGAGCAGGAAATATACCTGGAGATTATATTTCTATTAAGAAAAAGTGATGGTACTTAATTCTATTTTTCAAGAGGACCAGTCAGCATGGTAGAAGAGAGATGACCTGGTACAACCTTAGCTGACAAGAGAGAATTCACTCTGAAAAGTTTCAGGGGGTTTCCATGACCTCATACTCAGTAGTAACACATGACTGTCATTGGTTTTCAAACACTTGCGTCACATTACTTTGTTAACCACTTGTTTAAACATCTAAATAAATGCCTGAAACTCACTATATAAATTGCATGTTATTAAGGAGGAAGGCATAACTACCACAGTAATTTAATTACAAAGCTCCAAATTTAATTAGCCAAATACTAACCTTGTTTTTCTTCTCCTTCATAGCACTTAGCACAATTATACCTAATTAATTGCTTGTAATTATGGATGTAATCTGTGTGTCCCTAGATAAATTTATAAGAACCAAGAAAACAAGGGCCCATGTTTCTATCTTTCTTGATCACAGGCAGGTAACCAATGCCTGGCAGAGACTCTGGCACACCAGCTGGGGATTAGTAGATATTGGTTTCAAGGACTTCAGCTTTATCTGGACTTGTGGGAGAAATGAAAAGGATGTGAGAGGATTCCTGTCTGGACTTGGTAGGCCCTAGAAGAAGCATGAAGAGCAGCCCAATCCAGAGTTAAGAAATGAGCTGAGAAAGCCCAGGACATCCCTATGGTTCTCAAGTGTCTGATTACAATACTTTACCCATTGCTACCCCACAGTGAAGAATCCTTCCTTTCTTTCCTATCTTCCATGTTCTTTCCCTCCTTTTCCATTTTTCTATTGTCTTTCCTTAGTTTTTCTTTCCTTCTCTCATCCTTTCTTCTCTATCATTCTTTCTACATTGATAAATTACCTGCTACACAACTGTAACTGCTCAGTCCTAGACGTGAAAGGATGGCCAAAACGGGGACTTTGTCCTTCAGAATCTCTCAGAATTTGGTTTCGTGTCAGAAACCAAATGTCCTTTCTGCCAAGACCTTCGCATTCTCTCCTAACCACCTAGATTGAAGAAGTGAGGTTCAATGTCCCAGTTGGGAAGGCACAACGTAACCTGGGTGAGTGAGTTCATCCTAATGGGTCTCTCCAGTGACAGGCAAACCCAGGCTGGACTCTTTGTCTTATTTGGGGCCACCTACCTGCTGACCCTGCTGGGCAACGGGCTCATCCTGCTCCTGATCTGGCTGGACGTGAGACTCCACCTGCCCATGTATTTCTTTCTCTGCCACCTCTCACTCGTGGACATCTGCTACACCTCCAGCGGGGTCCCTCAGATGCTGGTGCACTTCCTCCTGGAGAAGAAGACCATCTCCTTTGCCCGATGTGGGACCCAGCTCTTTTTCTCCCTGGCCCTCGCAGGGACTGAGTTTTTACTGCTGGCCGCAATGGCCTATGACCGCTATGTGGCTGTCTGCGACCCCCTGTGTTACATAGCAGTGATGAGGCCAAGGCTCTGCGTGGCACTGGCAGCTGTCTCTTGGCTAGTGGGCCTGGCTAATTCTGCTATGCAGACGGCACTGACCATGCACCTGCCCACCTGTGGGCACAATGTGTTGAACCATGTGGCCTGTGAGACACTGGCACTAGTCAGGTTGGCCTGCGTGGACGTCACCTTCAATCAAGTGGTCATAGTGGCCTCCAGTGTGGTGGTGCTGCTGGTGCCCGGCTGCCTGGTCTCACTGTCCTACACCCACATCATAGTCGCCATCCTGCGGATCCGCTCCACCCAGGGGCGCCGCAAGGCCTTCAGGACCTGTGCCTCCCACCTCACTGTGGTCTCAATATCCTATGGGATGGCCCTCTTCACCTACATGCAGCCTCGTTCCATGGCCTCAGCTGAGCAGGAAAAGGTAGTGGTGCTCTTTTATGCTGTGGTGACCCCCATGTTGAATCCTCTCATATACAGTCTGCAGAACAAGGATGTGAAGGCAGCTCTGAGTCGAGTTCTGATGATGAGCTCTGAATTAAAACATTAGAGAGTGGTTTGGGTAACAAGAGGGCCTCACTCTGGAGACAGTGGGCATTGGACTGTGCTCTCCAGTATAACGTGTGTACACATGTGTGTCTGTGTATGTGTGTGTGTAAGGGAACAGGTGGGAGGACCACAATCTATACTACTCTCTTTTGAGGTAATAGAAAAATGGATTTTATCCGGACTTTATCTTTGGCCCATGCCTTATTCCCAATGTGAATTACAACAACTTAAAAATACATGCACCCTACAGAAAGTTAAATGAAATATATTCATTTTCTTAAATGAAAGGAAGGGGGAGTGAGGAGAAAAGATATACCAGTGTACATGAATTAGGAAGAAAGATTAAATTAGAAGTCAGGGCAGTGCACAAAACGTATTCCAAAAGAGTCTATTTCTTGGTAAAAATATTTAAATATATGTTTCTGTAGTAAGTGAGAAAAGGAGGGAAAAAAGCTTTAAGTTACAAAGTTCACTGTGCCCATGGGATCAAACAGGCCTTAGGTCAGAGATGCAAAGGCCACCCCAGTAACTCACACATGGTCCAGCCCGGCTCACTAGGGTGGTGGATTCACCCATGGGTTTGGAGCCAAAGTCACAGTAATGATCTCTCAGTTCTGATAAGTATGACTGGGCTGTGTGCCAGTCACATGAGTGTCCCTCTGCTTGTTTCCCTTTCAAATTTGCAGTGGTGGCAAATTGCTGGCCAGAAAGTCAGATGTGCAGGACCTCAAACAAACATCTTGTACACAATAAGATCTAAGGATATCCTCTTGTGAACATTGAGGGCTATGCTCAGAGCTCACCCTGACTAGGAGGCCATGCTATGCATGATTAGAGTGAGCCATGGGATTCAGCCAAGAAAGAATCCTGCTTCCTCATTGGGGATAGTTTTGTTCTGCTCTTTTAATACACAAATTTTTGAGCTCTAAAATCCTAGATTATAAAGCAAAGCAGTGATAATTTATTCTGAAAAATGTTTAAAACAATCTTTTAAAGTCAGACTAAATAAAACATCTCCTTAACTAAATATTATGAATATCTGGTTTGTCTTGACCACAAAAGAAAACAAACAAACCAAAACAAGCAAAGAAACAACAGCAACAACAACAAAAACATAAATTGAGAACAGTTCAAACTTTTACTCAATCTATTGCAACAAAGCTAAAAGGTTGAAAAACAGGAAATGAAGAGCACCCTTTAAAATTGCTATTAAAACGTTTTAATTGAGGCACAGCTCACATATCACATGATTCACAGTTTTTGCCATTTTAAAGCGGATAATTCATTGACATCTAGTCAATGAATTCACAGTGTTGTGCAACCTCATCTCTATCTGCCCCAAAACACGTTCAACACCCCATAAGGATACCCCACATTCATTAAGCAGTCCTAACCACCACTAACCTGCTTTCTGTCTCTATGGATATGCCAGTTTTGGACATTTCATATAAAGGGAATCATGCAATATGTAGCCTTTTGTGTCTAACTTCTCACTTAGCATGTTTTTGAGGTCTTTCCATATTGTTGTATGTAGTAGTGCTTTTGCTTCTTTTTATGGTTGAATAATATTCCATTGTATGGATATAACACATTTGTTTATTCAATCATCAGATAGCAGACATTTGAATTGTTTCTACCTTTTTGCTATTGTGAATAGTGCTACTATGAACATTCACATACAAATTTTTTTTGAATACCTGTTTTCAATTCTTTTGAATATTTACCCAGAAGTGGAAGCACTGGGTCATATGATAATTGTATGTTCAACTTTTTAAAGAAACTGCCAAACTGTTCTCCACCACAGCCAAACCGTTTTATATTCCCACTAGCAAAGAACCAGCAATGAACACGCATTCCAATTTCTTCACAGCCTCACCAAACTTACTATTTCAGTTCTGTTGACTATAGCTGGTCTTTCTCATGCTGTTCTCATGGTAGTTGATAAGACTCACAAGATCTGATGGGTTTATCAGGGGTTTCTGCTTTTACTTCTTCCTCATTTTTCGCTGCTGCCATGTAAGAAGTGCCTTTCGCCTCCTGCCATGATTCTGAGACTTCCCCAGCCAAATGGAACTGTAGGTCCAACAAAACCTCTTTTTCTTCCCAGTCTCGGGTATGTCTTTATCAGCAACATGAAAATGAACTAATACACCCCAAAAAGTCAATTTCACTATACGTTAATTTAAAGGGCACTTACCAATCAATAGGAAAATGGTGAACATGCAAACAGAAAAATGGAGAAATAAAATAAATACAAAGGTAGAACTTGTTTTATAACATTTAGCATGTGAAAAAAATAGTCTCAACAACAAAGAAATACAAACTAAAATAATAAGCTATATTAAGCTATTTAATTCGCAAAGAAAATATTGACAGTGGATACTTTAATTATACTTATCAAAAGCCTTAGACTAGCTTGGACATCGTAATGCCATAGCAAGACCCTGTCTCTAAAAATAAAAACTTTAAAAATAAGCCAGTTGGGAGGCTGATGCAGATGGATCGAGACCATCCTGGCCAACATGGTGAAACCCTGTCTCCACTAAAAATACAAATATTATCTGGGAGTGGTGACAAGTGCCTGTGGTCCCAGCTCCTTGAGAGGCTGAGGCAGGAGAATGACTTGAATCTGGGAGGCAGAGATTGCAGTGACCTGAGATTGTGCCACTGCACTCCAGCCTGGCGACAGAGTGAGACCTGGTCTAAAAACAAAAAATAGCCAGGTGTTGTAGTGTACTTGCAGTCCAGCTACTCAGGAGGCTCAGAAAGAGGACTGCCTGACTCAGGAGTTCAAACTACAGTCAGCTGCAGTCATGCCACTGAGCTTGAGCCAGGGCTGCATAGCTAGACCTTGACTCAAAAATAATCTTAAAAAAATTCATGCTCTGACTTTTAATTAAAATGACATCTGATCCCCCAGAAAGATCTTAAGTCTAATACAAGCCATGTGATAACTCCAAGAAAGATAAGCACTTCTAAAAATGTTTAAAAGATAATCATCCAGTGAATTACTATATCCTGAGAGAACTTTTTCCTAATATCCAAATAATTCACAGAAACCCAAGGATATTACTAGTCAAAGAACATAACACTTGTCCTTCTACTTTGAACTTCTGCTTTTTGAGGCAGCTGAGACATTGCTCTGCAGACTGCATCTCATAAACAACTGGAGAAAGCAATTCTCAAGAGACTAATAGGGCAGTCAAGAATAAGAGAAGAGGGGTGATAATATAACATGGTGCATTTAATTATTCTGAGAAAGGCCATACCACCAGAAGGTAGAAGAGGTGAGAGTTGATCTTGGGTATTTCATTGTTTGTTATTTTTTTAAAAAATATTATTATACTTTAAGTTCTAGGGTACACGTGCACAATGTGCAGGCTTGTTACATATGTATACATGTGCCATGTTGGTGTGCTGCACCCATTAACTCGTCATTTACATTAGGTATATCTCCTAATGCTATCCCTCCCCCCACCCCCACCTCACAATAGGACATGAACTCATTCTTTTTCATGGCTGCATAGTATTCCATGGTGTATATGTGGCACATTTTCTTAATTCAGTCTATCGTTGATGGACATTTGGGTTGGTTCCAAGTCTTTACTATTGTGAACAGTGCCACAATAAATATCCATGTGCACGTGTCTTTATAGCAGCATGATTTATAATCCTTTGGGTATATACCCAGTAATGGAATGGCTGGGTCAAATGGTATTTCTAGTTCTAGATCCTTGGAGAATCGCCATACTGTCTTCCACAATGGCTGAACTAGTTTACAGTCCCACCAACAGTGTAAAAGTGTTCCTATTTCTCCCCATCCTCTCCAGCACCTGTTGTTTCCTGAGTCAAGACGGTGCCACTGCACTCCAGCAGGGGCTAGAGTGACTCGGCTTCCAAAAAAAAAAAGAAAGAAAGAAAAAGAAAAAGAACGTAAGAAAGGAAAAAGGAAAGGGCTCACCAGAGGTTTTAGAAAAATATAATCATTCAAAGTGACTCACATGCGAACACATCCTGAACCAATTTTAAATTTTAAGTATATATGGAAAAATCCAAGAGCAAACACATAAGAATAGTAGATTCCCCAAGGAAAACCAACAGTCAGACTGGTGTGGAACGTGTCCTCTACAATAATGCACAATAAGGAATGACAGGAAAGTAATGAAATAATTTTCTACTAGGTTTTGAGGGCAAGAAAGTATAATCCAAAAATACTACATCCAGCCAAACAGTCCTTAAAGTATGACCTAAACAAGCAGACACTTTCTTATACGCACGGCTCTACTGTGTCGAGTCAATTTTTGTACTTCTTTAAAGGATAGGAAAATAAAAACAAATTAAAAACATAAAATTGAAGGGAATGCAGGGGATTATGTTGGCTTAGAGAGTTCAACAAATATCTGAATATAAGGTTAAACTATATTGATAAAAAGGAGGTTGTCACAACTAGAATATAGAAACAGAAAGCTATGGTTGAATGAGCAATTGATTAATTATGAGAACTCAGGAGATGTTACAAATTCTGATTTGGCATTTATGATAGAAGGTGCTTAGCTGCACAGATCAGCTCCTCTACCACTCTCTGCCACCAGAATCAACATCTCAGCCTTTATCCTCTGAAAAACAAAAAAAAGGAGGGGGAACTTTTTTTTTTTTCTCTAACACATAAGATGAAATTTCTGGGAAATGCTAGAACCTGTAGTGTTGGTGTTGTTTTCACCAAGTAGATATCACCTATTATGGCGCTGTAGAAACTAGTAGTTTTCTAATCAATTCCCTCCCTACTCATCCTAAAGTGAAGTCTGCCACTTGACATAATTTATCCTCAATTTAAATGCATACAATGATGGTAAGACTGCTCATCCAAGACAAAAACTCATCCCAACATAGTCCCACCTACACAATTGCAGAGTAAATCCACAGTTACTACATAGTCCTTCATTCTTATATGTAAACAGGACATTCTTTTTTTCTTTCCTTTTTTTTAAAAAATGTATTTTATTTATTTATTTATCTGAGAT